GACACTGGAGGGCCGGAAGTTCTTTCCAACCTGTGCTGCCTTTACCTTCCCTCAGAACATCGGTGTGGTGGCCCTCAGCAGGTTCTACCTGGCGCACGGCTACCCCTTTGCCCTGGTTCTCGCCGGCCTGTCCATGGCAATGGCGACTCTACTCAACCTCCCGGTGTTTGGCTGGTTCTTCGTCCAGATTGGCACCCGCAAGCTCTTTGTCCGAACGCCCACGAAGCCCCTGACCCCGGAGTGCATCTGAGGTGCCTGGGGCTGGAGGGTCCTTTAGGAGGGCATTTTGCACGTCAGGAGTCCGGGCACAAGGCCCAGGAATTCAGACGCTTGTTGAAGCCGTGCATTTCTGGTGTAGGGCTAACCCTAAACCCTAAACCCCAAACCCCTCAACCCTGAGCCCTAAGCCCTAAACCCTAAACCCTAAAACCTAAACCCTAAACCCTAAACCCTAAGCTGGGTCCTTGTACAGCAAGAACGGCGGCAGGCGGCCTCTGGAGACCTCCGGTGGCCCCCATCCTTTTGCATCATGCTGACGGCATGCCCCTGCTTGAAAAAGGTTTAGGGTTTAGGGTTTGGGGTTTAGGATTTAGGGTTTAGGGTTTAGGGTTTGGGGTTTAGGGTTTAGGGTTTAGGGTAAGAAGGGTTCCGGGGTTTTGGGGCTTTCCGGAGTTCAGGGAGTTCAGGGAGTTCAGGGTCGCCCTGTCTTGCCCCAAGCCTGGCCTCGGTCTTCTACCCTCGTGCTCGTTACCTGAATCTGTGGCTCAGGAAACTTGGTAGCTAGGTTTAAGTAGGCTGCTTATATCCCAATGCTTGCTCAATTTTGCCTGGGACCTAAACTGGGAGGTTACGAGAATAAGGGGTCCCGAAGATAGAACTCCAAATAGCAGGATTCCCCTATGACGGGGACCCCTGACAAGGCCGGAAGATAGAACCCTAAATAGCAGGATTCCCTTATGAAAGGGACCCCCCAATAAGGTACCCCCCCAATGTCGGAAACCCTAAACCCTAAACCCCAGTAGGATTCCCTTATGATAGGGTCCCCCCCCTCCCCCGCCCCAATTTCGGAAAACTTGAAATGGGCTCCCGAAGGCCACGAGCGCGCCCCAGCAGACCGAAACCCTTTCACCCTGTAAACCGAGCAGTAAGCATGATTTGGTTACCCTAAACCCTAAACCCTAAACCCTAAGCCCTAAGCCCTAAACCCTAAACCCTAAGCCCTAAACCCGAAACCCTAAACCCGAAACCCTAAACCCTTGTGAAAACCCTAAAGCCTAACCCTAAACCCTAAACAGGGTTCAGGATTCAGGATTTGGGGTTTAGGATGATAGTCAACAGCGTTAGATGTTGGAGGATGGTCCAAAAACCCCTAGACCCGAAACCCTAGACCCTAAACCCTAAACCCTAAACCCCCTGTTACAACGGAACCTGCCTTGGTGTTGTGAAGGATTCGCCCCTGGGCGGCTTCTTCCAGGCGCCGGGTTTTGGGCAGTGAGTGAGGCGGTTTAGGGTTTAGGGTTTAGGGTTTAGGGTTTAGGGTTGAGGCCGTAGACCTTGCCACTAAGGGGTACTGTTCGGTTTCAGGGTTCACGGTCATGGTGTGCTCTAGGACCAGTGGCACCCTTCTTCGCTGCTTCTTTGGTTAGGAGGAGTTCTGCTTGTTTCCTAAGTTATTGGGGAACTCATAGGGGGGTTTCCGAAATTAGGGGTACCTTATTGGGGTCCTGCTATTTGGGATCTATATTTGGGGGGTCCCCTGTTTTCGTAAACCCCCCATATTGCAGGGCTGCAGTGATTAAGGACTCGAACGCTGCGCGACTGCCCAAACCTAAGTAGCCCAGAAGGCCTTCCACCATTCGCCGACTACATGGGTAGTTCTCTAAATTTAGGGTCCGTTTTTGGGTCCTTGTTACAAGGGTGCCGTATGACAAGTAGGACCCCGGACCCCAATTTTAGAGAACGACCCGTATGGATCTTGTTCTAAATCTAATTTGGGGGTCCCCTTATTCGATGCCCTGCGCTATGCAACCCTTCAAGATACCCTAAACCCTAAACCCTAAACCCTAAACCCTAAACCCTAAACCCTAAACCCTAAACCCTAAACCCTAAACCCTAAACCCTAAACCCTAAACCCTAAACCCTAAACCCTAAACCCTAAACCCTAAACCCGAAACCCGAAACCCGAAACCCGAAACCCTTAACCCTTAACCCTTAACCCTTAACCCTTAACCCTTAACCCTTAACCCTTAACCCTTAACCCTTAACCCTTAACCCTTAACCCTTAAACCCTAAACCCTAAACCCTAAACCCTAAATCCTAAACCCTAAACGCCCGCACATGTGGTAGGCCGTGGCAGCCGATGGCATGCTGCTGGAGCGATTGGAGGCAAGTTTGGGAGAGAGCTGAGTTAAGTTCCCGAAGCCCTCAAGCCCTCGAACCTTAGAATCCTAAGGCCTTGAAGCCCTACAGCCCTAAATCCGTAAATCCCTAAAACCCTAAACCCCTAAAACCCTACATCCCTAAATCCCTAAATCCCTGAAACCCTAAATCCCTAAATCCGTAAAACCCTAAATCCCAAAACCCCTAAAACCCTAAAACCCTAAAACCCTAAAACCCTAAAAAGCTAAAACCCTACAACCCTAAAACCCTAAAACCTTAAAACCCTAAAACCCTAAACCCTAAAACTCTCAAGCCTAAAACCCTCCTAAACCCTAAACCTCAAAAACCCCAAAGCGCTGTCATGCCGGACCGACTGAAGCCTAGACCCTATACTCAATGCGCAGAGAGCCCTAATGTCCCTCATGATCCCAAGGAATAGGGGGGGTTTCCGAAGATAGGGAACCCTGTTTGGGGGTCCCTTGAAGGGGAATGAATCTTTTTGGGGTATAAAAGGGGTACCCCTATGCTTGGGAAATGCCCATATTCCTCTCATGGTAATCCTGATGTGATTCTTCAGGAATATGTCTTAAGTTGTAGTAGCATAGGCTCAGAAGTTTTGATCACCATGCCCCTAAACCCTTAAACCCCTAAATAAGCCCCTAAACCCCTAAACCCTAACCCCTACACTGCAGGCTTGTGGTCTGGTTTTGCGATTGCCACTCCCTGTGTTTCATTCACCAAGAGCCTAAACGCCGGTACATCAAGGCCCCACTTCCCAAAACACCTGAACCCTAAACCCTAAACCCTAAACCCTAAACCCTAAACCCTAAACCCTAAACCCTAAAGCCCTAACCCTAAAGTTTAGAGCTTTAGGGTACCTCCCGGTCCGCCCTAAAACCCTAAACCCTAAACCCTAAACCCTAAACCCTAAACCCTAAACCCTAAACACTCTCTAACCTATGTATATTTAATGGCTAGTGGCTAATGGCTTCGCGGTTTTCCACCGAGATTTCGTTGTTTAGCACCGACATTTCGCGGAAAAGCGCCGACATTTCTAGCCAGGCCTGGCCACCAGGCAGGGCGGATGGCCAGGGAGTCTGGGGGCATCCGGGAGTTTCCGGCGCGGGGTGTCCAGACATGCGTTCGGAAAACCCCCCACACGTGGAGACGGGGCGGCGCGGGGACGCCCCGGCAGCAAGATCTCGACAAGCAGGTGGCGGCCAACAGGATTCACTTGAGTCACTTCGTCCAGCTTCAGCTGGCCAGATCTGTGATGTTGGCCTTCCTCAACACGGCGCGGTGCGGACAACTATCCACAGAGTGCCTGGAGCAATTCTTTGCTGACAGAGTTTGGCCCGAGAGTTGCGACCGGGCAGTCGGCAAAGCGCTGGAGATCGGGAGGGCCACAAGCAAAAACTTCATGTTTCTGACGGTGACCAACAAAGCGGCCGCGGACATCAACACGGCACGGATCACGCAGGAGTTTTCTGAAGAGGCCAGGGAGCGAGAACGGAGGCGTCCCTTCAGAGATTGGTCGCATCGTGCTCGCCCCCCGGAATGCGAGTACGTCTCACCCACAACGTTGACAAGGGGAGGGGTTCGTCAACGGGAACAGCGGCGTGGTGCGTCTGCTGCTGAGGAAGGATGTGTTCGTCATGCAGCTGCAAATGTACCCCATCAGTTGGAAGGGTAAGAAGTACCTTCGGGCTGCATATGGGTGGGCGACGAAAGCGCGCCGCGCTCAGGGAGCCACTATGGACGCCATAGGTCTTTGGTTCAACCGGCGACTGCCGGATCGTGGGGCGCCTCGCACGCAAACACTCGAGCCACTGTGTACCACGTTGGCCGAGTCCGGCGCACGGACTGGCTGCCCGTTACACGGTGAAGTGAAGTCATTTCTTTCAACCGCCAGAAATGCGGACTCCGATCGCCGTCTGTCACACGAGCCACCATGGTTCCTCGCCCGTCTGAGAACGAGCCAGTGTACACGGTCAAGTGCAATTATTTCTTTCAACCGCCAGGAGTGCGCTTCTACCGCCTTCATGCGTATGTAAGCCAGACATGACTGCCGATCGCTCTTGTCCATGCATGAAGCTTATATGATGCATAGATCATTTTCGCTCAGCGTCTGCGTGCCCAACATGACTGCCGATCAATCTCGCCCATGCGTGAAGCTTGCATGATGCACGGTCTCCGCAGCCCCGCCCAGCGCAGCACGTTGAAGTGCCTTGACCCACTAGCCCATTTGGCGCTAGCGGTTCAGGGCATACTGGGCTTGGGGTCTAGGGTTCAGTGCTGGACTTGAGATGCTTAACCTAAAAGCCCCTACACGCTAAACCCTAAACCCTAAACGCTAAACCCTAAACCCTAAACCGTAAACCCTAAACCCTAAACCCTGAACAACTGCCATGAGGATCCGCAGGGCCGCCCTGCCTCATCGCTCACTGGACCGCCTGCGGTCTACGCAGGCAAGGCTTGAGGGCGCACATGGGTGGTCTAAACCCTTAACCCGAAACGCTAAACCCGAAACCCGAAACCGTAATCCCAAAACCCTAAACCCAAATCCTAGACCCCAGACCCTAGACCCTAAACTCCATAAACCCGAATCCCTGAACGCTTAGGGTCCTCGGCCTTAAGTCCTACAACCCGAAGCCCGAGGAAACCGAACCTGAAACCACCAAACCCTCAGCTTTGCTTTCAGGGTCCAGGGTTTAGGGTTCAGGGTTTAGGGTTTAGGGTTTAGGGTTTAGGGTTTAGGGTTCAGGGTTGAGGGTTAGGGTTTGGGGTTTAGGGTTCAGGGTTTAGGGCTCAGTGCTGGAGGTGTGTAGGGGAATGGCTTTGCACTGGCAGGTTTCTTTTCAGAGGCTGGTG